CCCGGCCACCCCCTCTGCGACTTGTTCGCCCCCTACGACGCGTTTTGTGCGCGCCAGCCCCTCCCCCCAATTCCCGCTTCCGTGTGTCGCGGCCCCAAGCCCTGGTGCTTTCCCTTCAGCGAATTGAGACGTGGGGTGGCGTGGCTTGGCGGAGGAGCCTGTTGCCGCCGAGCGATTTGCGTTCGGGCAGGCAGGTGCTGCCGCCGCGTGCCGGGCGGCCCGCCGTCCCCCCCTCTTTTCGCTCACTCCGTGCCTGCCGTTCTGGTCGTCACGCCCCTACTCTCCCCCCCGTAACCCGCAGATGCTTGCGCTTTTGCGCTTGCCCCGTCCTCCCCTTGCCCGGTCTTCCCGCGTGCCGCCTTCACCTTTGCGGCCCCCGCCCGCCCGCCTGGCCGCTCTCCCAGCTACTGTGCCGGGGTGGGTGGGCCCGCTTTCTGGTGGTGGTGGTGTGCGGGTCCTCGACCTGCCCCTCCCCCCCACTGGTATGCTTGCCGCCCTTGGGCTGGCCATCAGGCGCCCCTCGCCTCCCTCCCCGCCCTTTGCGCCCGACCGCTCCCTGAGCCCGCCCTTTGCCGCCCGGGCGGTATTGCATGCTTTCATACAGTCCAGAGCTAGTGGGCACGGCTTGTGTGCCCCCAGCCCATTAATGGGCATTGCCTCTGTAACATCACAGATCACAGATCACAGACCACACTCCCGTCGTTGGCCGCGACGTTAAATAAGGAGCTGGATGAGTGCCGGTGGGTGATACCACAGGCACGAGTTCGAACCCCAGCCGGGACACTAGCTGGGACTTTGCCTCACGGCACCTTCGTGGCGGCATCTGGGCGGCGGACGGCTGCCCGGCAGACCGGCATGGCGCTTGCAAGACGGAGCCTCCCCGGGATGCCATCGGCGGCCAGATTTTCCTCGCTCTGGACAGCCGGCAGGGTTAGTGGGTTCGGCCCCAGCACATTAATGTGCCCAATCCCTGTAACACACACACACACACACACACACACACCACACACACACACGGCTCACCCCTTGGCTGGCTATTGCGCCGTGCGAGGTGTGCTTGGAACCAGTGGAGGTGGTTGCGCTTTTCCGCAGTCACGCCATCGGGGACCCGCCGGCAGTGTGCTGCAGTGCCTGTGCGCCTGTGCTTGCTCGTGCGCTGCTGTGCCTGCCGCGCTGCCGCTCGGTGTGCTTTCTCTGGCGTCCCCCTTTCTCCCCTCTCCTCGTTGGCAGCTGGCTGCCCCCTTCTCCCGTGTGATCTGACCTGAGCCTTGACCCCCTGTGTCGCCTGCCCTCTGAGGCGGTCCCCGCCCGCCCGCCTGGCCGCTCCCCCAGCTTCTGTGCCGGGGTGGGTGGCGTCTCTGAGCCGCTTGCGCCGCCTGCTGGCGGTCCTGGCCCTTGATCCCCCTCTTTCCCCTGTCTTTTGCCCCCCGTTTCCCCTCCTCACAACTCTCTGACAGTCACTGGGCTGGCTCCCAGGCACCCTCCGCTTTCCCTGCCGCCCGCTGTGCCCGATCGGCTCCTCGCAGCCCCGCGCTCCGCCGCCCTGTCTGTTGGTTGGTTTCATACTTATATTGTCCAGAGCTAGTGGGCACGGCTTGTGTGTCCCCAGCCCTTTAAAGGGCCCGGTTCTCTGTAATCTCAGTCAGTCAGTCGGCTCACTTTGCCTCACGGCACCTTCGTGGCGGCATCTGGGCGGCGGACGGCTGCCCGGCAGACCGGCATAGCGCTTGCAAGACGGAGCCTCCCCGGGATGCCATCGGCGGCCAGATTCTCCTCGCTCTGGACAGCCGGCAGGGTTAGCGGGTTCGGCCCCAGCACATTAATGTGCCCAATCCCTGTAACACACGCACACACCCCCCCCGTTTCGTCGTTGGCCGCGACGTTAAATAAGGAGCTGGATGAGTGCCGGTGGGTGATACCACAGGCACGAGTTCGAACCCCAGCCGGAACACTAGCTGGGACTTTGCCTCACGGCACCTTCGTCACGAATGCCGCCACGGTGGCGGCATCTGGGCGGCGGACGGCTGCCCGGCAGACCGGCATGGCGCTTGCAAGACGGAGCCTCCCCGGGATGCCATCGGCGGCCAGATTCTCCTCGCTTTGGACAGCCGGCACGATTAGCGGCTTCGGCCCGAGCACATTCACATCCCCGACTCACACACACACCGGCCCCATTTATGGTCGTTTCAAGCGAGCACCCTGGCAACTTCAAGTAGAGGGGTCAACGGTCGCCATCCCGTGCAAAATGCTTCTTATTTCCCAATGCAGTCCAACTTCCAATTACAAATTGAGATGATCCACGATTGAGGTAATCCACCACAAATCAGCTGGGCTCGCCTGCAGGCAGCAGCCTGAGCTGAACGCAGTATCCGGCACGCTTCACGAGCTGCACGTGGTGCCGCATCGCACCGTGCAGCAGCGGCATGAGCGATGCCGTGTGGTTCCCCCCAGCTGGTTGCTGCTGCTGCTGCCGCCGCACTGCTTGTGCGGCGCACTCCCAGCTGCCGGCCGCCACATCGCAAGGGCAGACGTAAAAAGTGGCTCCGCGGCCGCTGGCTGGCGCACCCTCAGCACCGGGAGACTCCCACAGCTCATCCACTGCCAGCCCCTGGAGGGTCACTGCCTGGTGAAGGCGGCTAGCCAGGCTGTTCACCGCCCCTGCTGCCAGCTGCTGCTGGAGGTGGCGCCACCGCCGCACATGCATAGGGTGCTGCCAGGCCAGCTCAATGGGCAGGCTGCCGCTGCAGCTGGTTGGTGGCTGAGCGGAGGAGCTATTGGCACCGCAGTCGCTACTGGTGGCAGTGCTCGCAGTTGGGGCAGGCGAGCGCACCGCAGGCTGCAGCTTATCCAATGCTGCCAGCAGCTGATGCATGCCGTGCTGCCCTACAACCGCCGGATCAGAGTTTGCAGCAAACAGGCGGCGGTTGCGCCGCAGGAGCGCCTCACGATGGCCGCCGCCGCTGTTGGGGCTGCTGTCGTCGAGCAGGTGCTGCACCGCTGGGCCCCAGCCCTTGAGCTGCCCCGCGGCAGACGCCGCCAGCACAGCCTCCAGGCTGCCATACCGCCCCAGCAGCTTGGCCGCTGTCCTGGCCCCCACGCTGGCCCCTGCTATGCTGGCCTCCTTCTTGCCTGCACGAAGCAGAACATGTAGGATTGCAGGGCCACCACTGAGCAACGAGCCCTTCAATTTGGAGTGCAGCACGGCACGAGCGAGCGCTGTTTGGCTGCCAGCCCTCAGTCACGACGAGCGGCAGGGCGCACCGGTGAAGGCCAGCCAGTCGGGGTAGGCGGAGGGCGGGAAGCCGTGCTGCTGCTGGAAAGCCTCGGCAGTAACCAGCTCCGCCCCCAACGGGCAGCCCAAGCTCGTCTGGTTGTGCAGCTGCAGCCATGACACCTGCACGGCCAGTTGCCACAAGCAAGCAGGGTGCAGCTGCTCAGGTTTTCGTAGCCCACATGGACAAAGACACCGCTGTGGTGCACAAGCAGCTGAGCTGAGGCAGGGCGCTGGCGCAGCCCATGGGCAGCCCCAGCACCCATTGCGCAGCGCCGTTCCGATCTGTACCTGGGGCGCCAGTAGCTGCAGCATGTCTGTGTCGCCAGATGCCACCACCACGCTGGCAGCTGGGTGGCGCTGGTGCACGGCACGACACACCGCCGCCATGCCGTCGTCTGCCTCCCAGCCGCCTGCCGCCTCCAGGTACACTCCACCCAGCTGCTCCACTTGCTGCTTGAAGGGACGCAGCGGGTCGCCGCCAGGTAAGCTGGGCCTGTTGGCGCCTGTGCTGCTGCCCGCCGTGCCGTTGCTGGTGCTTGCAGCAGCTACCTCACCCGCCTGCTGCAGCTTGCGCCGTTTGCGGTGCTGGAGATACTCGGGAGCGAGCTGCTCTCGCTGCTGCGGCTGCTGCAGGCGCCTGCTCTTGGGGGTGTCGAACACGGCCACCAGCAGCTGCGGCTCGGCGACCGCCGCGAGGAAGCGCAGCCAGTCGGCAAAGCTGGCCGCCACGCTGTCGCCGGGCAGGCGGCAGCCGCGACGGGTGTCCGCGCGCGCCCTGGACAGCACATTCGCCGCATCCACCAGGAGCAGGTCTGCTGCGCAGGCGCTTCGGCAGGTACAGGGCGCGTGGCGCCGCCTTCTGCACCGAGCTAGCGCCAGGCCGCATGCTGGCGCCGGCCAGCAAGGGCCGGCGGTGGCTATGACCGGCTGTGGATGCGGCAAGACCATGTGAGGATGTGGAGGAGGTTGCGCAGGGAGGTTTGCAGCCCGCTAGGCCATGAAACAACCCCACTTTCCACCAGGAAAAACATGTGGTTTGGGCACCTCGTCGGGGCAGCTCTCACATCCCGCCGGCATCCAGAGGCAATTGCCCATCGCGATACACGTTTTGGGGTTGTGAACCCGGGCTGGCGTGGGCTATGGTAAAGGGGTGGGTTGCCAAGACCCACGCAAACAGCCCAGGTGCGCTGCGAACCGCCTCTTGTGGGAGCGTGCGATGCTGGTATGCCTGTGAGATGCACAGCACGTTAATTGGGGCCATTAAGGACGAGCCGCCCCGAGACGGTGCCCGCTCGGCGGCAGGCCGTCGCCACACACTCTCGTACCTCCCGGTGGTGCAGTCCCCACCCCGTTCCTCCCCCAGCGTTGGGTGCTACGGCGCCCGACGCTGCTGTTTGCACGAGCCATGTCCTCGTTCCCCGGCGCAGCAGCGGCGGCAGGGCCGGACAGGACGGCATTCGCCGGCGCCGACGCGCAGGAGCTGGCGCAGTGGCTGGCCCGCGGCGGCATCTCCCTGGACCGCTATGGCAAGGGGCCTGCCAAGTCTCTGGATCAGCTGTGGTGCGTGCCCTGGCAGGCCCAGGAGTGAGACAATTTGCTTGACAAGGCAGCCGAAATGGCAACCAGCTGTACCAAGCACGTCGCGTTGTTGGGCTTTGCGCCGCAGGGAGGAGGTAGAGGCGGGCGAGACGCAGCTGTTCCTGGAGAGCGGCAGGCCGCTGCGAGAGGTGAGCTGCCTCGCTGTGGGCCACTGGCCTGGCGGGCTGCCTTGCTGCTGAACGTGACGACAACAGGCACACCAGCGGCGTGCTGCCTGTTGACTGCTGGCATGTACTGCGCAGGTGTCGGTGCTGAATGTTCTGCTGAAGAACAGCAGAGGCCAGACGCTGTACGAGGCAGAGCAGGTCGGTGCATGTGCCGGGCTGATGCAAGCGGCGTGCCATGTTTGCACATGTATGGCTCCTGCCAAGCTCGCACTGCCTGCCTCGCCACGAGGGTGTGCAGGTTCTGCCCAACGGCAGCAAGCGCACTCGGGGCCTGCCGCTGAGCGAGAAACTGCTACCGGGGGAGCGGTGGCAGGAGGCGGCGGTGCGGGGCGTGTTGGAGGAGCTGGGGCCGGTGCTGACCGCAGACCCGCAGGTGGGGAGGGCCATGGTGGGCTGGGTTCATCGCTCACTCATGCCGAGTTGCTGTTAACACGTGCTGTGGTTTTGCTCCAGGTCGAGGTGGACGAGGGCAGCATGGTGGAGAGCGTTGAAATGAAAGAGAGCCAGTCGTATCCGGGGTTGCTTTCCAAGGTGCTGGCATCCTGGTCATCTCCCGGGGGGCAGCCTTGCAGCCCACCTGCATGCGGGGGAAGCGGGAGCAGAGGGCGGCCGGCCACTATCGCACGACTGCTGGGAGTCGTGCCTCCAGTGGCTTCTCCTCATGGCCTGCTTCCTGCAGTATGTGTGCAAGCGGGTGAGCGCCCGCGTGCTGAGCGGCCTGCCGGAGGATGATTTCAGCACCCAGGAGGAGCGGTCAGATGGCCTGCTGGAGCACTGCTGGGTGTGGCGGTGACGCATGCCCTTGCCCTGTACACTTGTATCATCCCCCTGCCATGCACGCATGTATCATGCCCCTTACCTGCCGTATCTTCACACTGTAATATAATGCCGAGCCTGCCATTCAATGTTGCCCAACAGAGTGAGCTATGCTCCTTACAAGAGTGGGTGCAAAATGGTGCATCTATATCGATGGGGAAGTGAACCTCAATTCATGCAATCAAGTTGACGCAAGCCATGCACCCTCCTCACAACAGCGGCAACACCGCCCTGACGGCCTCTGCCAGCGCCACAGCTGTGGCCTGCCACCCCTGCTCGCTGAGCAGGCACTCGGTGTGGCGAGCCTCCAGCGGCACGTGCAGCACGCCGCCCGGCGTGGCGTCGGAGCCTGGCCGTTGCGCCGTGTGGCCTCCAGCATCATCGCACCCAGGCGGTCCCGGGGCAGCACCGCCGCCACAGGACCACCAAACGCAGGCATGCCGCCAACGCCGCTGCTGGAGCTCGCCACGCTGGAGCTGCTCGGGGTGCTGCTGCCGCTGCCGGCGGCAGAGCCGCCGTATGCAGCGCCACGTAGGAGGCGCTTGAGCAGCGTGGCGCGGTCCAGGGTTGAGTACACCGCGGCATCCCAGTGCTCCTCTCCCGCCCCCACGGCCGCCAGCTCCGCGGGGCGGTAGGCGTTGAGCAGGCGCAGCTGCTGGCTGGGGCTGCCCGCGGCGCGCAAGCTGTCAATGAACTCTCCATGGGGCCCCGCAGGCTGCCAATCTCGCGCAGCAAATAGAACAGCGCATACCTGTGGGCAAGGCAGGGGGGGAGGGGGGTTCGGGAGTGAGGCGCAAGGAAGTACATGGGGGTATGCTGGGCCAGGATTTCCAGCAGTAGCGCAAGTGCTGGCTGGGGCTCTGCAGCTGATGGTGCACTCACCACGTGGTGTCGTGCAGGGGCAGCCCCGCAGGCTGGCCCAGGCAGCCGTCGAGCAGCAGCAGCCCCACACGCTGGCCGGCAGCCTGCAGCTGCGCGGCGGCGGCGTGAGCCACCGCGGCGCCGCTGATGCTGCAGCCGGCCAGCAGGTAGGGGCCGCGTGGTTGTACCGCCTGTACCGCCGCCACGTAGTGAGCCGCCAGCTCAGCCAGGCTCCCCAGGTTGGCAGCCTCCCCGCCCATTGCCAGCCCGTAGCAGGGCAGCGGCAGCTCAGCCGCCATCTCCTTGAGCGACCCTGTGATGCTGCCCGTCTCGTTGCCCACTAGCCACAGCGGCAGGCGCGCCAGAGGCGGCGCCAGCAGCTGGCGCGGCGTTCCGCTGCTGCTGCGCCCGCTGCGGCGCAGGATGTAGCGCCGCTCGGGGCACAGCCGGTTGAGCGGCAGCACGATGGTGGCTGTTTCGGAGTCGGCAGGCGGGCTGAAGGGCGAGGGAGAGGGAGGCTGGCGCGGCGTCAGCATCATGCTGCTGCCCTGCTCCATCGCTGCCACCTCGGGAGATGCTGCCTCCGCCTCTGCTGCCTCTGCCGCCGCCGCCAGCAGCGCGGCTTGCACCTGCCGTGCGGCTAGCGCGGCTGTGCTGCCGCCCTCTGGCAGCTCATGCAGCGCTGCAGGCTGCACCAGCTGTGCAATGCTGCGCCACTCGCCTCCAGGGCCACCCGCAGCCAGCAAACCGGCGGCGCCGCCGACAGGCTGCTGCCCTGTGGCGCCTCGCTGGCGGGCAAACACCAGGGTGGGGCCAACATAGATGTCCAGAGCACGGTAGCCCTCTGCCAGAGCCTGCCAGTAGGCCAGGCGGTCCAGGAGGGCGGCGATGCGATGGTCCCAGGTCGCCTGGCTCTCCTGCGCAGGGCGTGCCGGCAAGGACCGGGGTGAGTGCCGCTGGACTGGATGTTGAGGCCCTGCAAGCTTTCAAGTTGCATCGGCAGCTTGGAAGGCTGCCTGCTACCTGGGACGGCACCCCCAGCTGCCAGAAAGCAGCCACACAGGCAGCCACAAGGGCTAGGATCAATACACACCCTCAGGCCCACCTCTGCTAGCTTGAAGGAGGCCACATAGTCGAGCTGCTCCTCATAGCTGGCAATGCTGGCTAGACGGGCAGCAAAGGCCTCGATGCCAGGCGCAGCAGCCCCCGCCGCCGCCGCCACCACGGGGTACAGCGCCGCCGCTGCCTGGCACACCTCGCGGCGCTTGGGCGGGGCCAGCCAGCTGAGCAGGGCGGCCGGATGGCGCAGGGTGTGCAGTCCCTCAAACAGAGCCAGCGCCTGAACAGTGTCTGGTGAGCTGGCGCTGAGCTGGATCGCCAGCTCATGCGCCAGCACAGCGCCAAAGCCCACCCCTCCCAGCAGCAGTGGGCAGCCCGCCGGCGCCACGCCTCGAGCAGCCTTGAGCGCCAGGATGGCAAGCTCCGCCACATCAGCAGGCGCCCCCGCCATCTCGCCAGCCTCGGGCAGGCACACCGCAAACACCGGCAGTTCCAGCGCCGTCAGGAGCGGCTCCAGTCCACCCAGCCCGCCGTCCGCGTCGCAGCACAGCACCAGCACCGGCGTGCCGGCCCCGCTGCCGCTGCTGCTGGCCTCCCGTGCCGCAGCATTCACGAGCTCCACCGGCTGTGCCGCCATGCCAGAGGCCCCGCCACCCAGCGCCGCTGCGTCGGCGTACGGCACGCCCGCTTCCACACGGCGCCTCAGGCCGGGGTCCTTCACGCCCATCTTTTGCAGGTAGCTGTCGATGTCCTGCATCTCCGCCTGCAGATATATAAAGAGAAGGTGGCACGACAATGTTGGAACCATCCATGTGGATGCACCGCCTCAGCCCGAATGGCCCAGGCTGGTAGGCAGGGCAGGGCATGCACGCGTGCTGCCTGGTGCACTCACCGCAGACACCGCATAGCCGCGCTGCTCGTCGCCGCGCCGCACCGCCTCTGTCCACCCAAACGGAGCCAGCTTCTGCTTCAGCGCAGTGACAATCAGGTTCATGTCGCCGAGGTCCTGCATGTGGCGGCACACGCGGGGCGGGGAGGCTATTCAGGGCTTGGACTTGAGGCCGTGTAGCATGCACCGTTCCAAAGTGGTGCTTGCCTCACCCCCACTTTCCACAAATTTGAGCACAGTGGAGCCCCAATCTTCAACACCACACACACCCTCCTCTGTGTCCCTCTCTCTCTGGGCCCAACTCTCCTCCCCTCCTCTCACCTGGCGCAGGATGGAGAAGTGGTCCCCCGGCACGTCAATGACCTCGCAGTCGTCGCACATGTCGTACCAGCAGGCGCCATGCGGTACCGCAGCGTCCCGCCGGTCGTCCATGTACGTGCACACGCCGGGGTTGGCGGCGCGGAAGTAGACAATAGGGGCCTGTGGGGGCAGGGAATGGGCAATGGTGTGTGTGCGGTGGTGCTACCGCTGCTGCGTTCGACGCTGAGTGAGTGCTGAGCCAAGCAGCGCTGAGAGCGCTCTATTCATTCTCTCCTTTGACCCTCCCAACTGGACCTGGGGCCCACCTTGATGGCCGATGCCAGGAAGTTGAAGCGGCGCAGGTCTGAGACGGACGAGGCCTGCTTGGTGACCAGCGCGACATAAAGGTGGGGAAGAGCCTCCACAAGCTTCACTTCCCGGTTTTAACGTCTAGCTTTAGACCATTATTTGATCTGCCCGACGCGCCAAGTGCAGTACCCCCCACTAGTAGTGAATGGGTCCCGGGGAGGCCTGTGCCGAAGCCTTGGCGATTCTATTAGGCGTTCCCGAAGGAATTGGCTTGGATTGGCGCTGAGCCGGTCAGCTATGCCGCGTTTGTCCTCACAAAGTTTCGACATGGGAGGAATCGAACCTGTGCCCTCTCGGAGGGTTTAGACACTAGCTCCAGCGCCTTCAAAGAAGGCCTTTCTTAGCCGCGGCCTAAGGTAAAGGTGGGGAAGAGCCTCCACAAGCTTCACTTCCCGGTTTTAACGTCTAGCTTTAGACCATTATTTGATCTGCCCGACGCGCCAAGTGCAGTACCCCCCACTAGTAGTGAATGGGTCCCGGGGAGGCCTGTGCCGAAGCCTTGGCGATTCTATTAGGCGTTCCCGAAGGAATTGGCTTGGATTGGCGCTGAGCCGGTCAGCTATGCCGCGTTTGTCCTCACAAAGTTTCGACATGGGAGGAATCGAACCTGTGCCCTCTCGGAGGGTTTAGACACTAGCTCCAGCGCCTTCAAAGAAGGCCTTTCTTAGCCGCGGCCTAAACAGACATACTCCACCTGCTGCCGTACCTCCTCCACGGTCATGTTGCTGTCGCGCTGCGCGAGTGTAAAGAGGGGGCAGGTACCAGAAGTCAGCAGGCGCATAGCTCAGGGGCAATTGAGGGTGAGGCCATGGCGCCAGCTCGCGGACCCCGCCTCCCCATGCTACCCACACAACACACATGTCCCCCTCCCCTCCCCTGAGGGCTCACCATAACGCGCCAGATGGGCGCAAAGAACTCAAACTTCTGCTGCAGGTCCATGCCCCGCCACTCCTCGCTCTCGCGCGGGTGTGCGATGCTGCTCCCCATGCCCAGGGCGTCGCGGCCTGCACCAGGCGGGCGAGGCCAAGCCTTGCGCATCGGCGCCCGGGATGCTCCTCGGCAGGCGCAGACGCTCAGCCACCTCCTGCCAGCCACAATCTGAGCTGGGAATGCCTCTTGTGCCCTGCGCCCCTTCTGCCGCTGCTGACCCACCAATACAACCGACTGCGAAACACACACATCACGCCCATCCTGTGCCGCACTCACCTAGCGCCCCGAGGATCATCTCCATCAGCTCCATGGCGTCCTCCTCGTTGGCCGCCTCGGCCTCGGGCTGGGCCCGCCGCACCTGGTTCGGATGAGGAGTGTCCATGATCTGCATGGCGGCAAGGTTGGCTGGCGGTTGTGCTGGCCAGCTGACCATGGTGGGGCGGGTACAGCCGAGCAATGCAGCCAAGGGCCTCCAGGAGGCATGCATCCGCCTTGCGCAGGCACAGCATCAAGCAATCGCCGGTAGGATAGCCTCTGCTAGAGCGTGCCCCCGCGGGCCGTTCCGCCGCCGCCGCTCACCAGCACCAGGCCCACGGTGTGCCCCCAGCTCTCCAGCACCATGGCAATCTCCATGGACACCACTCCGCCGTACGAGTGGCCTCCCACCAGGTAGGGGCCCTCGGGCTGCACCCGAACCATGTCTGCCGCGTTCTGTGCCGCCAGGCGGCTGACATCCAGGTCGTTGTCCTTGTCCAGAACGTAGATGGGCTGGGTGGACCACTGCAGTGGGAGGCAGCGGGGAGAGGGGAGGTATGTCAGCAGCTGTTGGGGTGCCAAGGCATACATTGACCACAGTAGCCACATGGAAAAAACTGGGAGGGGTGGGTAGCTCAGCAGTGCAGGCCACTCCCGCCTAGCAGCACAGCATGGATAGATGCTGCACAGTCAGCTTACCTGCAGGAACTGCGAGAAGGAGAAGTAGGCTGACTGGGCGTTGGCCACGCCGGGGGCTGCCAGGAACAGCGGCCGCTCAGGTGGCGCCAGCCGCAGCGTCTTGAGAAGCTGGCTGGGCTTGCTGTCGGCAGCCGCGGCAGCCGCAGCGCCAGCGCCGGAGCGAGGCTGGCGCTGGGCAGAGCCTGTAAACTCTTCAACATCCGAGTCTGACTCAGCGCCGGCACCCCCGGGCAGCTCGGCAGCGCCAGCTGCCACCGACACAGCTGCACCTTCCATCAGCACGCCGTTGATGTACTCTACCACCTCGCCCACAGACTGGTAATCGTACAGGAGGGTGACGGGGAGCTGCATTGGGATATGTGGGAGACCAGACCACCAGGTGTTTGGTGTGGGGACAAGGAGCAGGCAGCACAATCAAGGAGGCAGGGAGAATGACAGATGTGGGAACAGGGGTGAACAGGGGGAGTGCTCCCAGTCACCTGAAGGCCCAGGCTTCCGGCCAGTGTGCGGCGAAGCTCCATGCCGCCACGCGAGTCCAACCCCGCCGCCATGAGTGGTTCGTCGGGATGCACAGCGCGGCCCAGCATGGCCCGCACCTCGCTCATCACCTGGAGGTTCAGGAGGGCAGAGGCAGGGGATGGCCGGCAGGTGGAGTGAACACTTGGGACGACAAGTAAGGCGTGAGCAAGTCGACGCATGCAAGGCTGCTTCCAGCCAGGAAGCGTCGTAGTGGGGCAGCAGTATCGCACCTGTGCCTGCAGGTGCAGCAGGCGCTCCCCCTCTGGCATCTGCAGGAGCGGGTGGTCTGCCGGCACCCCTGGTGCCTCCTCCTCTTCCCCACCCGCCAAAGGCCCGCCAAGCTGCCCTGCCCTTGCGGATAGTGGCATGGAGCTTGGGCCGGGCGAGGCGGGCGGCATGTCTTGGTCACCCAGCACCACACCCAGCAGCGTTGCCGCTGCGATGTGGGCAGCTTGGGCCGCCAGGCTGCCGCTGCCCGCCTGCCAGCTGTCGGCTGGCTGGTACACGGCTGCCACGCTTCCACCCGTGGGGCTGCTGCTGCCGACGAGCAGGGCTGCCACGCTGCGGACCCAAGGGAAGGGTGCCGCTGCGGCATCTGCCACGGATGCCGCCTGGCCCAGGCAAGCATCCAGCAGGGCAGGGTGCAGGGCATAGCCTGACACCTCGGCTGGGGCCAGAGGTGCTGCCTCTGCCACTACGCTCGCCGGTGCAGTTGAGTCGCTGGCGGGCACACGGCCCACCAGCTGTGCCCTAACGGCAGCGGCCCTGGGGGTAGGCACAGGTGTTGCACCTCCACCATCCGCCCTGGCTGCCTCGGGGCTAGCAGCAAACTTGGCTGCAAGCAGCTGCTGGTCCGCCAGGGCCACCTCCACAGCACCGCTGGTACCCGCCAGCTTCACTCTGGCCACAGCAGCGGCCACCCGGGCTGCCGCTGCCTGCGGCAGCATGGCTGGGGCGACCATGGCAGCCTCAACCACCGCCGCCACTGAGGCCGCGGATACCGGATCCTCGCCATCCGCCACCGCTCCCAGCAGCGGCAGCAGCGAGGCCGCCATGCTGAGCACTGCTGAGGTGCTCAGGAAGGCCCTGCCGTGCAGGCTATACTGCCACAGGTAGGCCAGACGGGGTGCCGACAGGCTGCTGTCAAAGGCCATGGCGCCGCCCCGACTGCGCTTTCGCAGCAGGCAGCTGGTGAGCAGGTGCTGCGCAGGTGGGGCCACATAGCAGCGGGACCGCCTCCAGGCGGGAGGAAGGCCCGCGCTCCAGGCACTGATCACCGCAGCGGCGCCGCTGCCGGCCAGCAGCGCGTGGGCGTTGGTGCCTTGGGCGCCAAAGCTGCTGATGCCCACCAGCAGGGCGGCGGTGGCTTGGGAGACGGGCACGCCATGCGGCCCGCCTCGTGCGATGCACACTGCAAGGCAGATCCATAATCCAGACGCTTAGTGCAGCTTGATCACACAGTTGGGACCATGGGTGCATCAAGGAGCATCAACAGCATCAACAGCTTCATTGTGGCAGGCTGGCCAGCCAGAAGCAGGCAGCACCCAAACAGGAGGCAGGTGCCCCAAGCCCAGCCCACCTGCGTGCCCTGCCAGGGCGCCATGCACGTGAGGGTTGAGGTGGCGCAGGTGCAGCGCGGGCGGCACCGAACTGCTCTGCACCAGCTGGCTGGCATGCTGGAGCCCCGCTGCACCGGCTCCAGACTCTTGGTGCCCGGTAATGCCCTTGACTGTGGCAAATAGGAAAGCACGGCGCTGGGGCTGCTGCACCTGCTGCTGGTGGTACGAGTGAGCGCCCTCCTGCACGCCAAGCCAATGAGGGTGGTAAGGGGGACATGAGTTGTTAAAAATGTAGTCTACTTCCCAAGGCCACGGGCTGGCAGGCCTGCTTGGAGTTGGTGGGCCGTGTGGTTGGGTGGGTGCTGGGTGGTGGGCAGGCAATGCAATGCAAGGCACACAGAGCACGCCTCACGCCAGCACATGACGGTGCTCACCAGGAAGACAGCCGAGGCGGCGCCCACTTCAATGGGGTCGCCCAGCGCTGTGCCGTTGCTGTGCATCTGCAGGCCCGCCACCTCACCCGCCCGCACCCCCGCAACCAGCAGTGCCTCACGCAGCAGCGCCTGCTGCGCCGGGCCGTTGGGGGCGGTCAGGCTGCTGGCCCTGCCGTTGGTATTGACAGCCGAGGCGAGCAGCAGGCCCAGGGGCAGCTGGTGCATGCCGCCGCCACTGCCGCCTTCACCAGCCAGCGTGGCGCCATGCGGGCGCAGGCACAGCACCCTGCACGTCTCGCCCCGTGCGTAGCCGTCTGCCGAGGCATCCAGCGTCTTGCTGCGCCCTTCTGGCGACAGCATGGTGGCCCGTGTCAGCATCAGGGTGGACTCTGGCACCAGGCACAGCAGCACACCCGCCGTCAGTGCCGCCTCCATGCGCCCCTCCCTGCGGCGGGGCATGAAGGGGTGAAGGGTGGGATGGCGGCAAGCATGGCACGAAATCATGGAATTCCGCAGCCATCAACTGTTCCCTCCCTCATCATGTTCATTCACTCATGACGCCTGGTCGGAAGAGCCTCCCACCTGAAGGACAGGCAGGCCATGTGTGCGGCCACCAGCGATGCTGAGCACGCTGTGTCCACGCTGGCGGTGGGGCCCCGCAGGCCGAAGGCATATGCGAGCCGCCCGCTGGCCACGCTGGGTGAGGCAGCGGTGAAAGAGAAGCTGGAGATGGCCACGCCGTGCTGGTGGGTTAAGGTCTCGTAGTCGGTAGCTGCAGGTCGCATGACACAGGCACACATATACTTGATCAGCAAGGGGCACACCCAGAGGGTAAAACAGCTGGCATCAACCAGAGCGTGGCCCACTCACCGGCAATGCCCACATACGCGCCCACGGCGCGCCCCGAGGCGGCGCCGGGCCCTCCCGGCAACGCCTCGTGCGCGGCGTGCAGCAGCAGGCGCTGCTGTGGGTCCATTGTGAGCGCCTCGCTGCGCATCGTGGCAAACAGCTCGGCATCGAAGAGCTCCACACGCGGCAGGAAGATACCAAACTGTGGATGGAGAGAATGCGACCGGGCGGCAGCAGGAAAGGGGACAGGTCAGAGCTAGCTGGGGCATCAAGAGGCTGGGTGAGTGCCCTAGCAGCTCCCCCCAGCCAACTTACACGCACGCAGCACCCTCCCCAACCTGAGCAGGTAAGGTGCCGTCGGCGGTGATGAGCGGCGAGTCGGCATCCCAGCGGCCATACGGCACACGCACGGCGGCATCTGCCACAGGGGCCCCTGCTGGCTGCAGCTCGTGCTGGCCTGCGGCGCCCACAATGGCCACCGCCCCAGCACCGGCACTGTAGCCGCCATGAGCCAGTGCCGATTGCGCCGAGAGCGGGCTGGCAGCGCGGCCGCCTGGCGCCGCGGGGCTTAGCTTGCCGGCCAGGAACTCTGCCATGGCGTTGACTGTGGGGTAGTCAAACACCAGGGTGGAGGGCAGCTCCACGCCCAGAGCATCCGCCAGGCTCTGCTGCAGCTCGGTGGAGCCCAGGCTGTCCAGGCCGGCAGCCATCAGCGGGTCGTCCCCACCCACCGTGTTGCCCAGCACAGCCTGCACCTGCTCCGCGACCAGGGCCTGCAGGCTCTCCAGTGTGAACACTCCCTCCAGGCCGCCGCCCGTAGCAGCCACCTCTGTGATGCTGTGGTAGGAGGCCAGAACCCCAGTGCCACCGCCCAGCGAATAGGCGGTGGCATCCGCCGATGGGGACAGCAGGTACAGCGGCGTGTGGGGCGTGTGCAGGTTGAAGGGGCTGAGGAGCACCTCCTCCGCACCGTGAGGAGAGAGAGGGGTACGCGGCGTCATCATGGCGGGGCGCTGCGGGGACAGCAGGAAGAGGAGAGAGCAGCGTCGAGACGGGCTTTGGAAAATGGTAGGCAGAAGACACCGGCAGAAGCGCTGGGGCAGGCATGGCGCTAGCTGCTGGAATTGTGCGGTAGCGGTACCTTGGCCACCAGGCGGCGTGTCTCCATGCCTGCCATCAGCATGGTCAGCCCCCCGCTGCCTATCAGCTGCTGCTCCTGCCGGCCGCTGCCGGCAGCCGCAGCCGCAACGCCTGGTGCTGCCCCGACCACCAAGCTGCTGGCCCACAGTCGCATGTCTGCCACAGGCAGGGGCATGAGAACAGCGTCCATTCGAGCAGCGACCCTCAGCGCCCTGTGCTGGGGCTGGTGTGCGGCTGCCACATGCATGGCAGCCTCCGACACAGCCGGGTGCACGCTCATGCCCAGCTGCTCCTCTGGTACCGCCACCTCAGCAACTGCCAGCCTGGCGATCATCGTGGGCACGCGACCCACTACCACCACCACCACAGAGGCTGCGAGCGTTGCGGGCGCCGCAGGCACCGACAGCGCTGCAAGCCTTCCACCTGTGGTGGGTTCCTTCCTGCCAAAGCTGGCATAGAAGTGTGTGCGGTGCTGAGCGGCATTTGTGGCCGCCGAGCTGATCTCAAACGTCCCGGCCGCCGCCTGCACTACGCAGCGCACGCGGGTAGCCGCTGCTGCCACGGTTGGCAGGGCCAGCGGTGTGGCAAACACGGCCGACCGCAAGGCTGTACCAGACAGGTCGTTTCTGTTGAGCAGCTGCCGACTGGCTCCTGCCGCCATCTCCAGGAAGGCTGTGGCTGGGAACATGGCCATGCCAAGCACGCTGTGCTGCCACAGGAAGGCCAGCTTCGGTGCTCCCAGGGCCACCTCCAGTGCCACCGCCGCGACTGTCTGCCGCCGGGCAAAACGTGAGCTACTGGTGGCAGCGGCCGACAGCAGCAGGATGTGCACAGGTGGCGCCACCCACACGCGCTGCTTGTTCCATACTGCCAGCTGGCTAGGCATAGTGTGTGTGGCCGTGGGGCAGTCGGCCTGCTGAAGCAGCGCGTGGGCATTGGTGCCCTGGAAAGCAAATGAGCTGACGCCGCAGATCGCTGTGCTGCTGCTGCCGCTGGCATCCGCGCCCGCCGGCAGCGCCATGCGGGGCAGGTGCCAGCCTGGCGCCGCTGCCTTGGCGGCTGACATGTCCAGAATGGCGGCCACATGGCTGTTGATGGCTGTCAGGTGCATGATGCCGTGGGCGAGGCGGTGAGACAGCGCCACGCCGGCATGCGTGAGGCCCATGGCCCCTGCCGCGGCCTCGGTATGCCCGATCCAACACTTTGCAGTGCTGAGGCCTAGTGGCAGGCTGCGCCTGGCGCCATCCACCAGCACAGCCGCCGCCGCTCCCATCTCAATCGGGTCGCCCAGCGGGGTGCCTGTGCCATGCATCTGCAGGTAGCTGACATCAGTGGCTGCCAGGCGCCCAAATGCCAGCGCCTGGCGCACCACCTCCTGCTGGCTGGGGCCGTTGGGGGCTGTCAGGCTGCTGCTGCGCCCGTCCTGGTTGACTGCACTGCCGCAGAAGAGCGCCAGCGCACCCTGGTGAGCCAGGAGCTGGACTGCCTGCAGCAGCAGGGCGCCCACCGCCTCGCCACGCACGTAGCCGTCGGCGGCGGCATCCAGCGTCTTGCACCGGCCATCCGCCGCCAGCATGCCCGCCTTGTGGAACATAGCTGCAGCCAAACAGGCATGCCATGGGGCATAGGCATGATGTCAACCACCTAGAAATTATAACGCAAGGTCGTTTGCCAGAGGAGCCAACAGCACTGGTGGCTGAAACGCACATGTGGTGTCTGGAGACAGCAGCAACCCGGCGCCTGCCGCCAGGCCTCCACTGGACACGCCACTTAGCACGTTGCCTGCTGCAATGTGCGAGGCCACCAGGGAGGAGGAGCAGGCGGTGTCCACGCTGATGGCGGGGCCCTTGAAACCAAAAGCATAGCTGCAAAGGGGGAGGAACAGCAGCAGGTGATCAGGTGACTTTGCCACGAGGGCTCAGCAAAGTGCAGGGCCAGCAGCACCAGCATGACACTGCTCAATGGCTGGACAGGTCTCTGCAAACACCCACCTGAGCCGCCCGCTGGCCACTGATAGCGCGCCTCCTGTTGCCGAGTAGGCGCTGACGGCGCCTGGTGTGAAGCGGGGCACCAAGTGGTTGTTGTATTCGGCAGAAGCGATGCCCACCGCGACAGCGGTACTGCTGGGCTGTGCTATGCTGGCGCCAGCCTGGCTGAGGGCCTGAAACACGACGCAGCCACACACATGGCGGGCAGTTCAAGACACAAAAGGAGAATGGGCTTGTTGCCAGCAGGCCGGCATAGCAGCAGAGGGCAATAGATCTGACGGAGCGTAACACTGGATCATATTGCAGTGCAATGGCGGCCACACCTCCAGGGTTGTCTCCAGCAGCAGGCGCTGCTGCGCATCCATCAGCTCCGCCTCGCTCCCGCTCAAACCAAACAATGCCACGTCAAAGAGGTCTGTGGCGGAAATGAAGCCACCAAAACGAGCCGGCAGGGTGCCGGGCTGCGTGCACATGAGGGGCAGGGCAGGACCATGGAGGGAGCTGAGTCAGCCAAAGGTGCAGGCATATGGACGCTGCTGTTCAGGAAGCAGCCCCACCTGGCTCAGATCCACATCCCAGTGCTCCAGCGGGATGGGAGTAATGATGTCGACAGGCGCCAACGACAGCACAGCATCTCCTGCCGTGCGGCTCGACATGCCCAGCAGCGCCAGTGCGGCACCTGCCGGCATGGCCGCCACCAGCCCACGCGGAGCGAGCGGGCTCAGCGCCAGCTCGCCGTCGGTCTCTGCATCCTCCTCCTCCTCACCGCCCTCGTCAGCTGGCAGCACCGTCTCCACAAACCCGGCGATGGCCGCCGCCGAGGGGTAATCGAACACCAGGGTCCCCGGCAGCTGCACGCCCAGCCGAGCCTCCAGGCTGTTTTTGAGCTCTACAGCACCCAGGCTGTCCAGGCCCGCCGCCATCAGGGCCTCCCCAGAGCCAATCTCCGAGCCCAGGATACCGCGCACCGCATCCTGCACCTGCTCCAGCACCGCAGCCTTACGGTCTGCCGCAGACAGGCCCCGGCCGCTGGCGCCGGGCTTGCGGCCACCAGCCAGGCCACCAGCCGGTGCACCAACTGATGCCTGGCTGCCGGCGGTGTCGCCGGCAAACTCCGAAAGGAAGGGCGGCACAGCCGCTGCGCCGCCAAAGCGCCGCAAAAACTTGTCCCAAACAAAGGCATTGGCCGCCAGAAGCGGCGGCGCTGGGGACACTGCTGCTCGCTCACTGGGAACCAGCATGCTCTCAAGCACCATCATGCCCTGTTGAGGCTGAACCAAGGCCATGTCAGTGCGCTCCACGCGTGCGGCTGTGGAGGCGTCGTTGGCCGCCATGCCGGCACCCGCCCAGGCGCCCCACTGCATGCTGGTAGCGACAGTGCCGGCCAGCTGTGCACGCTGAGCCGTGGCATCCAGCGCCGCATTTGCTGCGCTGTAGTTGGCCTGGCCAGGAGAGCCCAGCAGCGCCGCCACAGACGAGAAGAGGATCTGAAAGGCTCCAGGCTGGTGGCCATAGGCAACGTTCAGCTGGACGGCTGCCTGCACCTTGGGTGCAAACACAGTCCGCAGGCTGCCCAGCGTCTGGGAGCCCAGCACGCCATCTGCCAGCACGCCACCAGCATGCATCAGGCCAAGCACGGGCCTGCCGCAGGCCGGTGGCGCGGCCAGGCCTGCCGCACCCTCTGCGCTGCTGGCATCACACATTGCCATGGTGACGGCGGCAGCAAAGGCCGCACAGCCCGGCTCCAGCAAAGCGAGGCCCTCCCCGGATGCCGCTGTGCGACCGCTTCGGCCGAGCAGTAGCAGCTGCCGGATCTGCTGTTGTGCCAGCCACGCAGCCACCTGGGTGCCCAGTGTGCCCATGCCTCCGGTGATCACCACTGCAGCGGCAGAGGATGCAAGAAGGAGGGAGTAGATCGCATATACCATATCGCATGTGCCAGCATGATCCGCTGCTGCAGCCCATGTGTGTCATGCGCCTTTCAGAGGGCAGCGTACCTGAGGGACTGGTGCCACCCTGTTGGGTTGCCAGCGCCGGCGCCCGAACCACCACCTTGCCCACGTGCCGCGCCTGGCTCATCTGGCGCAGCGCCGCCTGCACTGCCGACAGGCTGTGGGCCACTTGGGGCAGAGGGCGCAGGGCGCCAGCCGCAACTCCGGCCGCCACACGGGACAGCGCGGCGTGCAGGGCTCCCTCTGACATGAAGTCCACGGCAACCAGGGAGTAAGCGACGTCGGGGCGCTCTGCAAGGGAAGGGGGGGGGGGCAGCAGGGGTAGGGGGATGAGTCTGGAGGGAGAGAAACGGCGGGCAGGCAGGGGTGGCTGAAGCCAGTTATCAAAACCGGCTGTTCGGATAACCGGTGGCAAGTTTTGGGCAGTCATCCGAAACAAAACACCGACTGACTGCTTCAGTCGATGAACACCGAAAATCGAGGTTTCGAAAAGATCAGCAACTCAATCGGAACGGTGATAACTCGACATTCAATCGAGCGCCAAATGCAATCTTCCAATCGGCAGAAATCGAATGTTTCAGTTGTTTTTGTGGAATCGACATTTTCTGCTTCAACGGAAGGTCCCTTTCGGGTGAACCCTTTTCAAGGCGTTCATATGAGAGGCTCTTGCCAGGAGCCCATCCCCTGGCCATCCCACCTTGTGCCACGCGTGCCGCGCTCCAGATGTCGCGCTTGCTGATCTCCACAAACCGGCCGCCGCCGCCCAGCACCGCCAACGACCCCGCCACCATGCCGCTGCTGGTCAGGCTGTTGAGCACCACGCTGGCGCCCCCAACCTCTGCCAGCTCGCTCACAAAGGACGTGTCCCGAGAGCTGCCGACATGGGCTACGCCGAGTGAGCGCAACAAAGCACGCTTGTTGCTGCTGCCTGCCGTCGTGACGGCGGTCGCCCCGGCAGCATGGATGACCTGCATGGCGGCCAGGCCCACACCGCCGGCAGCGGCGTGCACCAACACCCGATCGGCTGGAGTGGCGGCTGCCAGCTGGTTGACGGCGGTGTCCACGGTGATGAAGACGGTGGGCATGGTGGCCGCCTCCTCAAAGATCAGGGATGCCGGCAGTGGCACCACTGTCTTCATAGAGGCCACAACATGGCTGCCCAGGCTGCCAGCGGCCAGGCCAAAGACAGGTTGACCAACTGCCAAGGTGGGACCACCATCAACCGTAGGGCAGGAAGCCACTACCACGCCGGCGCAGTCGCCGCCAGGCGGGCCGGGGTCTCCGGGGTACATGCCCAACACGTTGAGCACATCCCTGCGGCATCATGGGAAAGGCGGGAGACATGCACTGTGCAAGGCAGTCGCCAAAAGGATTAGTGTCTTCCACCGTTCACTCAGCCACGCACCTAAAGTTGATTCCCACTGCCTTCACCGCCACCAGCACTTGGCCGGGGCCCAAGCTGGTGGCACTGCCATCCACTGGCAGTTGGGCCAGGTTGTTCAGCGCGCCACGGGGCTGCGGGAAAAGCTGGAAGGGCGCCGGTGCGCTCCTGGCAGCGCAGGGGCGCATGTAAGGGAGGTATAGGGAGCCTGCTGCCGTTGCGGCGCCGTAGCCATCAAATGGCGCAGCCACCTGCCCCTGGTTACCAACTGTTAGCTGTGTCGAGGTGGCAGGTGCTGCAGAGCCAGCAGCCAGAGCATCCCCGTCTGAGCCAGACACTGCCAGGGTCTGGCACTCGGCAGCAGTGGTGCGAAGCAGGCCCCACAGCTGGCCGGCTGAAGAAGTGCTGGCAAGGCCAGCTGGCAGTGCAACCACACCATGCTGGCTGCAGGTGCTTAGCCGCAAGCTAGAAGCGTTGCCAACTAGAGCGCCCTGCACAGCAGCCATGCTGGCTGCTGCCAGCTGCACGCTACCCAAGGAAGCAACCGCCAAATTGAGATCATCTGCCGTGGCTGCGCTGGCTGCCAGATCAGCCAGGCTGGCTGCTGCCCAGCCGATCTCGTAAAGCATATCCTGCCTGGAGGCAGCAGCGCTGCTACCTGCGGCTGCCCCAGCTCCAGCCCTGGCCCTGCCGGCAGTGGCCTTGGACTCTAGCCCATCCAGCTGGCAAACCAGGCTGCCACTGGCTCCAACAATCATGTGATTGCGAAGCACAGTTGCATCAGTGTCCTGTCGGCCAGCAGGACGCAGTGCGAAGGCCGTGGCGGCACCACTACTCCTGCTGATACCATGCCCCACGTATAGTGCTGCTAGGGATGCAGGGATAAAGGTATTCTTGCTGCCGCCTGCGGGCTGCTGGGTAGGCACCCTGCCTCCCAACTGCAAGCAACCATTCCAAACCACCGGGTTCAAAATGAAATTCCGTGGCCCCTGCCGTGCCTGGCTGTTAAACCGGGCCAGCCGCCACTCTCGCGTTCCGCTGGTTACCACGCAGGAGCGGGAATTGGGGCCGGTATTGCAGCCCCGCCTCTCCCAGCTGACGATACGCATACTCTGCCGCCAGCGGTTCGCTGCACTCTGTTACCAGCTGCTGAAATGCTACGACAGCCTCTCCAGCACCTGCCATCCGAGCTGCTACTGATGATGTCGACGATGCAAGGGAATATTGTGTGCTGACGTGAACGGTGCCGGGGCTGGCAAGCTGGCAGGTGCCGTCTGACACTGCGACCTCTGCCCGCAGGCTGGCCTGCTTGAATTCAGCCAGCGATGAGGCTGGGCTGGGCAGGAGGAGAGGTGCAGAGATGGCTGTGCCAACCAGGCAGGCGGCTGGTCTGGAAGCGCCGTTCAGCAGGGCGTGGGCCACTGCTGCCGCCATCTCCAAGTAGCCAGCGCCTGCACGAGGCACAAAGTGAACAGCAGCAGAGGCAGGGACCCATATGTGTGCCCTGCAAAACTGGGATCACTACTGCAAGCAATTGACCAGCCTCGAGCGACATGGGATGGTCGGGCGCACCTGGGAACACAATTTTGCCAGACACTTGGTGGTCACAGAAGAAAGCATGCACCGCCTGGGAGCCCAGCCGCATGTCGTACGCCAGGCGCCGGGCTGCGCCTGCCCCTCCCACGCTGGCAATGTAAAGCTGTGTGGGCAGGCGCAAAATCAGTGCATCAACAGCAGTTCACTCGGTTCAATAACACTGAGGGGGAGAAAGCCAAGCACTGACACACCTGGACGTGCGCAGGGGGCACCACATTCACATATTGCCGCTTCCATATTGGTGTGAGGATGCCAACTGTCGAGGTCCCGTTGTCTGCTGCTGGGCTGATGAGCGCATGGGCATTAGTGCCTTGGAAAGCAAAGGAGCTGGTGCCTGCCAGGCTGGGAAGAGGCGTGGCGAGGCCGGCGAAGCCGCCCAGCTCGCGCGTGATGGCAAACAGGCCGCTGTTGGCAGCACTCACACTGCCTTCCATGTATGGGTTCAGCTGCAAAAATGGAAGGGCGGCACAGGCGGGGGGGTCACAGGCCCACAGTCGGGGGCTCCTGGGCTGTGGTGGGCGTGTGCAAGCAAGCCATTCTAAGGCTGGGCAGCAGAGGCACACCTTGTGGAGGTGCAGGATTGGTTGCACCAGCACCGCCGCCAGCGCCTGGGCTGCATGAGCCACTCCCACCATGCCTGCCGCCGGCTCTGTGTGGCCCATGCTGGTCTTGCCGGCAGCCAGAACCACCTGCCTGGCGGCAGCTGCCCTGCTGCGTGCCGCGCCCAGCACTGCTGCCAGCGCTCCCACTTCAATGGGGTCGCCCAGCGGGGTGCCTGTGCCATGCAGCTGCACCATGGCAACAGTTGCTGCAGCCAACCCGCCCGACGACAGAGCCTGGCGCACCGCCGTCTGCTGGGCGGGGCCATTGGGCGCGGTCAGCGTGCTGCTGCGTCCATCCTGATTCACTGCGCTGCTCACCAGGCAGCACATCGCTGTCATGGTGCTGGCTGAGAGAGCATCGCTCTTCGGAGCGTCGGCCAGCTGCTGGAGCACCAGTGCGACGACAGCTTCGCCCCGCACATACCCATCTGCGGCGGCATCCAGCGTCTTGCATCGGCCATCCATGGTGAGCATGCCGGCACGGTTGAACATGGCTGAGGTGTCGGGAGTTAGGATGAGCTTCACACCGGCTGCGTTGTGGAAAACAAAACAAAATGTATGCCGCTTCTAGCTGTTTGAGTAGTTGGAAGATGTTGGTCGTACGGCACACAAGAACCCAGTGCCCCTTCACTTGCCTGTGTTTGCCGCCGTGCAGCCACCCTGTGCCATGCTGATGCGAGCCATGTGGGCCCCAACCAGGGAGGAGGAGCATGCGGTGTCCACTGCCACCGAGGGGCCCTGGAAGCCGTAGATGTAGCTCAGGCGCCCGGCAGCGACGCTGAGGGCTGAGCCAGTGGCGCTGTACGCCGAAATCTCAGCGTGCGCCCCCGCCACCTGGCTGAAGTCGGGCGTGGAGATCCCAACAAACACACCCACTGCACAGCAGGAAAAGAAAGGCAGAGCAGATCTCATGGCCAGCTGGTGTGTGAGCACCCAAACCAGGCACTTCACAACATGTGATTCGTGTGACAAACAGGGGCGGCCATCGTGGCAGGTTTTCAGGCAGATGAGTGATGCTGGACCGTACTTGCAGCAACAGAGCCCCACAGCCCCAGCCGTGCTGGCGCCAGCGACTCCTCGGTGCATTCTAGCAGGAGGCGCTGCTGAGGGTCCATTAGATTCGCCTCTGCACCAGCACCAAGCAAGCAAACCGAAGAGTCAACATACTCTCGCTACCGCAGTGCAACCATGTTGCCAAGCCCACGCCACCTCATTGGCTGCCACTGGCCAGAACAGGCAGGCATCCCCACAGAACAGGCGCCCTGCCAAACTCCACAGAGCACCCAGATCAAACGCTTGCCTGGCCCGGCGATGCTGAAGGCGGCGGCGTCAAACACGAAGGCTCCAGCCAGGAAGCCCCCAAAGCGGGCGGGCATGTCTTGGGTCAGCTGCATATCAGCGTCCCACCGGCTGGTGGGGATGCTGGCCATAGGGTCTGGCATGACTGGTGCCTCCAGGGCGCCAGCTGGCGAGCGGGTGCCCATGCCCATGACACCCAGCAGACAGACATCAGAGGGGCTCGCCACATCAACCGAGCTACAGGCGAGAGCTGCACCCTCGGCTTCCGATGCCAGTGACGGCTCAACAGCTGCCAGGCTAGCGCTGATGAACTGGGCAATGGCAGAGATGGTGGGGTAGTCGAATACCAGGGTGGAGGGCAGGCCTAATCCCAGCCTGCCCTCTAGGCTGTTGCGCAGCTCCACGGCTCCCAGGCTGTCCAGGCCTGCTGCCATAAGAGGCTCGCTGGCGCTGACACTACCTCCAATGATTGCCTTGGCAGCAGCCTCCACCTCGTCAGTGACATATGCCAGGCGCTGCTTGTCTGACATGCCAGCTGCAGGGCTGGCTGCCGCTCCAGCCGCCTTCTGCCCATGTGCATGCTCTGGTTGACCGGCAGCGCCAGCAATGCTGGCTGCCTTGAGGTGAGCAAAGCTGCTGAAGAAGAACGGCAGCTGTGGCATGCCTTGCAGGAAGGCGGGCCAGTCTACTGGCGCCATGGCCACCTGCGGTGGCACATGCAGGCCTGCCACCGCCCCCGGCTGTGCTGCTCTGGCCAACAGCAGCCCATGCAAGCCGTGCAGGCCTGAGCTGGGGGTGAGCGCACCCAGCCCAATGCTCTCCATCTTTGATGCGCTGGCAGCAGCCATACCGGCTCCCTTCCATGCGCCAAACTGCACGCTGAGCACTGGGGAACCCATCACCTGCTTGCCAGCAGCAGCTGTGTCCAGCCAGCTGTTGGCAATGCTGTAGTTGAGCTGTCCCACGGAGCCCAGCACTGCCGCTACCGAAGAGAAGAGCACGCTGTTGTGCATGGGCTGGACGCCGAGCCCGCTGTCCATGTGGCGCCAGGCGGTGGCTTTGGGGGCAAACACCTGCGAGAGGCGGCATGCGAGGGCAATCAGTTGAGCATCAGAGCTTATGCCATCTTTAGGGGTGCTAGCGCAGGCAATGTGGGGATGCAGCTGGAGTATCTTAACCCCAAGGAGCTTGCCTGGCGTATGCCTGCCAGCGTCTGGTTGGCCACCGTGGCATCAGCCAGCACGCCGCCAGCGTGCATCACGCCCGTCACGGCAGGCAATGCGCCTGCCAACACAGCCTCCACGTCGCATGCAAAGCCGGCATCTGCCTTGGTCAGCGTGACTGCTGCGGTTTGGTGGACCGACACCAAGGCAGCAGAGCTGTCGGGAGTAAAGGTGCCTGTGCGACTGACAAGGGCCAGGTGACGCAGACGCTGGCGTAGCAACCACTGGGACACAAGAGTGCCCAGCGCGCCTGCAGCAGCAGTGAGGGCACGGTCTTACTTTCGAAGTTCTTGTCCCAACAACAGGACACGCACAAGCTGGCATTTGCCAATCTGCTGCAGGACAGGCACAACAGGCGCGCACCTACGCCTCCAGTGACAAGCCAGCTGCCTGCAAGCATCTCCTGTGACTGTGCGGGCGCATGGCGCACCACCACCTTGCCCACGTGCCGCGCCTGGCTCATCTGGCGTAGCGCAGCAGGCACCGCCCCCATGCTGTGAGATATCAAGGGCAGCGGGTGCAGCTGGCTGGCAGCCAGGCCGGCAGAAATGCGCATGAGAGCGGCATGCATGGCCTCTGGAGACATGAAGTCAACGGCCAGCAGGCTGTAGGCCACGTCGGGGCGCTCTGCACAGGTCCGATGGAACAGGAAGAGTTGAACGCCAAACAAAACAGCACACGTCGGCAAGGGTTATGAGCCAGTAAGGCAGCCAGGCACATACAAGCTCCGGCCATTGCAAAAAGTGCCTACCCTGCGCCACACGAGCCGGGCTCCAGATGTCGCGCTTGCTGATCTCAACAAAGGTGGCGCCGGGCGTCAGGGTAGCCAGGGATGCGGCCACCATGCCGCTGCTGGTCAACGTGTTGAGAGCCACGTCCGCGCCACCCTGCGCTCAGAGACACCACAAATTGATTCGAGATTTATAAAATATGTTTGCTCAAGAAATAAGTCTCAACAAACACTGACAGTGTGCCTCTCCTCTTACCTCCAGGCTGACCTCATCGACAAACAGTGTGTCACGGGAGCCAACCACTTGGTGCGAACCCAGCAGCCGCAGCAGCGCCCGTTTGACTGGGCTGCCAGCAGTGGTAACAGCAGTTGCACCTGCACCACGAATGACCTGCATGGAGGCTAGGCCCACGCCGCCGGCCGCGGCGTGGACCAGCACACGGCTGCCCCTGCCAATAGAGGCAATGCGATGCAGGGCGGTGTCCGCAGTGATGAAGACGGTGGGCATGGTGGCCGCCTCCTCAAAGCTGCGCAGCAGACGCAAGGCAGGCAGATGGATTGAAGGAGCTCCTCGAGTTTAAGCAAGGACGATGAGGTTGCGTCAACCGTTAATGCCTGCCAAACCGCAAGCAGAGCTGCCCACCTGACAGAGGCAGGCATAGGCACCACCGTTTCGCTGGAGGCAATCACATGGCTGCCCAGGCTGCCGGCAGCCAAGCCAAACACAGGATCGCCGGGCCCAGCAATAACGGTATCGCCATGCTTGACTTGGCCATGCAGCACGATGGCGGCACAGTCGCCGCCAGGCGGACCGGGGTCGCCTGGGTACATGCCTAGCACGTTGAGCACATCCCTGTGGCAAATGGGGGTCGGTGGACGGCGGTTGATCCCACGAAGAACAGCCCGCCATGTCCCAAAACAGCTAGTTTGCACACCTGAAGTTGATGCCCACTGCCTGGACTGCCACCAGCACCTCGCCAGGTGCCAGCTTCCTGCCTGCCTCCACCGGCAGCGGAATCAAGCTGTTCAAGCTGCCACGCGGCACCGGGAACAGGTGGTAGGGACCCAGCTGCTCAAGTGCCGCCGACTTGAGCAGCAGGGGGGCGAGACAAGCACCGCTGCGGTCTGCTGCGCCGAATGCATCCGTCAGCTCGGCAATGCTGCCCTCCAGCCGCACCAGAGCAGCGTAACCTGCCCTGTGCCCTTCTGGCAGCTGCGAATCGGCGTTGCGGGCACTCCAGCTGGTCTGAGGCACTTCCTGGTTCAGAGTTTTGACAAGTCCCACCAAGGCAGCCGCAGCCGTGGTTCTGCCTGTAGCGCTATCGCCAGCGGCAGCGCTGGCTGGCAGCAGGGCACCGCCCACAGTCTGCAGCTGCACAGCCGCAGGTACTCCGCTTTTAAGCATCCTCTGGACCGAGGCAATGGCTGATGCTGCCGCCGCTGCGGGATCTCCCTTGTCGGTGGCTGCCAGGCGCCACAGCGTCCCGCCACTGCTGTCACCACCTGCTGTTGCAAGCGCAACAGGCTCCGTCACCCTCCAGGCCACCTCATACAGGCACTCGGTGCGCCCTGCTGTCGCCAGCTTGCCACCAGCGGTAGCAGCAGGGCCGGCGCTGGCCTGGGCCTTGCCCATGGACTTGGCAGTGAGGGCCGAGATGACACACAGCTGGCGCTCGTTGCTGCCACTGCTGCCCAGCCGGGAGTCGCTGCTGACACTGCCCTTTGGCGCTAGCACAGGCACCGTGGCTGCCCACGCCGTGCTGCCGGGGGCGGCGCTTTCAAGGTCTGCTGCCGCAGGCGACACTCGAAGGGCAGCCAGGCCAGCTGGCACATACACCTCCGTGCTGCCGGGTGCCTTGAAAACCTGGCCCAGCTGCAGGAAGCAGTCAAAGGGGGCAGGATCCATACAGAGCCCACTGCGGCCAGTGTCAATCAGCAGCGTGGCAACTGCGGCCGCCTTGCTGGTGCCACCAGCGGGCTTCACAATGGCTGCCAGCATGACTGAGCTGCCGCCAGCAGCTGTTCCTTCCTTGGTGCTAGCGCCAGCTGCCGAAGACAAGCTGTTCGCCATGCTGGCTGCCGTGGCTGTCACATGCACTGCCCTAGCACTGCTGGCAAGTGGGGCCAATGAAGCAATCTCAACAAAGCCAGTTGGCACTACCACACAGCACTCTATCACCGTACCGCCGCCGCTAGTTGGCAGCAGCAGTGGGGCTGGAATGGCTGCTCCCGCCAGTACTGCCTGCTCGTGCAGGGCAGAATCAGGGCTGAGGGTCCTCAGCGCTGCAACATTCAGCTCAAAGTAGCCCGAACCTGCAGCATCACAGTACGGGAGAAGCTTGCAGATACAGCAGGGCACGCCTCAGCAGCTCCAACTTGCCAAAAAGTGTTTGTATTAGTACACCATGCAAAGCATTGAGTTGGAGAGTCCGCAAGCAGGCGCAGACAGACTCACCTGGGAAGATGGCCTTGCCCATGACCTGGTGGTCCCACAGAAATGCCAGGCTGGCGGCTGCCAGCTCAGCGTGAAACAGCACACGCTTGTGAGAGGCGCCACCTGTCACTGATGCAGCGGCAGTGATGAGCAGGTGTGCTGGTGGCAGCACATAGTGGCGCTTGTGCTGCCAGGCGGGCAGCAGCAGACCACCCTGCAGTGTTGTCGCTAGGTCCTCGCCTGCCGGGGCAGCAGCCGCCAACAGTGCATGGGCATTGGTACCCTGGAAAGCAAAGGCGCTAGTGCCCCAAGTGCAAGCTTGAGTGGCACCCGCCGCCGCCGGTCCCCCACCACCCTGCTTGGGCAGCAGCGCCGCGGCAATGCCCCCCGTGCCTAGCTGCTGCTCCAGAGTGTTAGTGACGTAAGGATTGACGCTCCGCAGGTGCAGCAGCGGCAGGGTGAGTGCCTGGGTGGCTGCCGCGTGGGCAAACAGTAGGCCAGCCAGGCCTGCTGCTGGCTCCGCATGTCCCACCCACGACTTGCTGGCTGCGAGGACCAGCGTCTGCTGACGTGACGCCTCGCTGTACACCGCCAGGGCGGCGCCCACCTCAATGGGGTCGCCCAGTGGGGTGCCTGCGGGCAGGGATGCAGGACGGACCATTTTGATCAAAATCGCATCCTGCAAACGAAGCCACAGGTTGGTATTACTGCCGACCACCATCCCCAACAACAAGCAGGCGCACCTGTGCCGTGCATCGACAAGCCGCCCACTGCTGCCTGCGTTATTGCTGCGCTGAGCATGGCAGCGCGGATGACCTCCTGCTGCGCCGGTCCGTTGGGCGCCGTCAGGCTGCTGCTGCGCCCATCCTGATTGACGGCACTACCAAGGATGAGCACAGCTGGCACAGGGCCAGGGCTAGCAGCTGCCACCTCGGCAGTGGCCAGCACAACAGTGACCACCGTTTCACCACGCACATAGCCATCGGCAGCGGCATCCAGCGCGCGGCAGCGGCCGTGGGGCGACAGCATGCTGGCTGTCCAGACGTAAGATGTGGAGGCGGAGGTGGCCTGGATGTGAATGCCTGCAAGGAGGGCACGTAGCATGTTTGCGAATTTGCTCGTGGTGGAACGCTGGCCTTGTTGCTGAGAGGAATGGATAGTCAGTTGTGCAGCACGGGTGCTTGGAGATCAGCTCACCAGAGGCGTATGAAGCCCTTGCCTCGCCAGTCTGGAGGCCCTTGGCAGCCATGTGCAGGCCCACCAGGGAGGCCGAGCACGCTGTGTCCACGCTGATGCTGGGGCCGCTCAGTCCAAATACATATGACAGGCGGCCACAGGCAACAGAGAGTGCAGAGGAGGTGGCGTGGTACACACCACGCTCAGCATGCCGCGCCACCAGGCTGCCATAGTCCGAGGAGGCAATACCTGCAGGCCGAAAAAAACTGGCAAGTTGATAAATAGCTGAACAATGGTGAACAAAGTGGTTAAACACAAATAAAAATGTTGGTGCGTGCCAGAGGCAGGGAAGGGGACCTACCAACATAGACGCCACGAGTGCGCATGGGCGCCAGGGCTGCATCAGCAGGTGCTGACAGCAGCGCCTCTCCCACACTTTCCAGCAGCAGGCGTTGCTGTGGGTCCATGAGAGCAGCTTCGGCGTCGGGCGTGGCAAAGGCGGCGGTATCAAAGGCGGCGATGCCAGCCAGGTAACCGCCGAAACGTGCCGCCAAAGGGTCTGCCTCCACATCCCAGCGGTCAAACGGCACCAGGCGCACAGGGTCAATACCCATGGTGGCTGAAGCCAGGTGGTTCAGAGCGCCATGTGGCGAACGCCAGCTGGTACCCAGCATCGCCACTGTAGCGGTGCCGGAAGCAGGCACTGCTGCAATGAGTGCCCCTCTCAGGCCAAAGGAAGAGGCGCCGAGCGCCGAGGAGCTGCCAGCTGGCGCGACCTGGCTGAGTTTGCCGGTCAAGAACTCGGTCAAAGCGGCCACAGTGGGGTAGTCAAAAACAAGCGTGGAGGGCAGCTTCAGACCCAGCTGCCTCTCAAGGCTGCTCTGCAACTCCACAGCGCCCAGGCTGTCCAGGCCTGCCGCCATGAGAGGCTCGCCGGCACCGACATCAGTGCCGAGGATGCCTCGCACCGCTTCCCGCACAGCTGCCTCAACTGTGGCAGCATCCACAGCTGGCAGGCTTGAGGTTGCAGCAGCTGTCTTGGTCATGCTGCCATCTGTCCCATCTGTGACATATGGGGCAAATAGCTCGGGCAGCGGCTTGCGGGCAGCAGCCACAAACTGTGGCCAGCGGAAGGGCACCGCTGCCAGCACAGGGCCGCTAGAGGTGCTGCCAGCGACAGCCACTGCCAGGGCCTGCAGACCGGAGCTGATGGGAATGAGCCCCAAGCCCAAGCGCTCCAGCCTGGAAGCTGTGGAGGCATCGTTGGTCGCCATGCCGGCGCCTGCCCAGGCGCCCCACTGCACGCTGGTGGCGACAGTGCCAGCCTGCTGCGCATGTTGAGCCGCAGCATCCATGGCCCCATTAGCTGCGCTGTAGTTGGCCTGGCCAGGGGAACCCAGCAGAGCTGCCACTGAGGAGAACAGGAGCTGCAAAGATAGCGGCACAGCAGCCGCCTGCTGGCTGAGGTTGCATAGCGCAGTGTGCTTGGGTGCCGCCACCTGCATCATAAAGCACGCATAGACAAAGGCATTTGACTCCCAAAGGCGGTATGGTGTGGACGTCAGCACGGTGTTGATGGCATGCGCGCAGCTTCTCTTGCCTGCCGGATGCCCGCCAATGTCTGGTTGGGAAGCGTGGAATCCGCCAGCACGCCGCCTGCATGCATGATCCCTCGGATGCTGCTGCCGGTAGTCAGCAGCGCTTCGACATCCGCAACCAGAGCAGCATCCACCTTGCTGCTGCTGATGCTGCTGGCTGGACTGGCATCGGCATACAGCTGCTGTTGCTGATGTAGCACAGTGTCTGGCACACCACCGGTCCGGCTCAATAGCAGCACCGACTGGGCGCCCTGCTGTAGCAGCCAGAGAGCGACATAACCTCCAAGCACGCCAGAGCCGCCAGTGACAATAAAGCTGTCGTGGCCGCTGCCTGTGGCACCCTCAGCAATGCCGCTGCCTGCTGCAGAACGCTTTGGCAGGAGTCGTGGCAGGAAAGAGGCGCCGCTGCTGATGGCCACCCCATGCGCGTCACTGCCCCTGGTGCTGGAGAGCCGTTCAATTTCCACAGACAGCATCCATGGTGCTGCCGTCTGGCTGGTCGCGGATGCGCGTGTGATGCTGGATACGGCCAAAGACATGGCCGGCGCCTCGTGTGCCAGGGCCTTGAGCACACCCTGCAATGCTGCTGCCCCTCCTGCCGCCTCTATTGCACCTGGAGTGGGGGCGGGCATCAGGCTCCCTGCCAAGTCAGCTGAAATGCTGCCTGCTGCCTGCTTGAGAACTGCTTGAGCAACTGAGATGGCCTCAGCAGCTCCACTTCTTTTCCCTCCTGCCAGCACCAATCCATTGGCACTTGCAGCTGAGCAGGTGTCGATTGGTGCCGCTGCCTCCCAAAAGATGCTGTACAGCATGCCTGCTGGCCGCATGTCAACCTGAACAGCAGCGGCTGCAGGGGCATGCTGCTGCGTCACACCCACGAGGGGAGTGTCCGTGATGCCCCGAAGCTGCACTGCTAAGGCACCGTTGTCGCTCCCTATTTGTGTGCTGCTACTGCTAGCACTGGCAAGCCTGGAGTGAGAGCCCAAGGCAGCCGCCCCGCCCAATAGCACCGCTTCCACAGCTGCTGCCAGCTGGCCTGCATCTCCCATCTGCAGGGCAGCATCCAGCACTGCCGGCCCCACTGCCACAGTCTGCAGCAGGCTGCAGGTTTCTGCCTCCAGAAATGCTACCACACCAGCTGCAGGCGCAACCGATGGCCGATTGGCCCCCAGCAGAGCGGCGAATGCCTGGCGGCTGGTGCCCTGGCTGGTGCGAAGCAGCGATGTCTTGCCAGCTGCGATGGCTGTGCTGGTCAGTCGACCGCTGCCGCACTGCCTGTCAGTGATGCTGCCGCCATTAACAAGCACCGCATCAAAAGTGCCTGCCGAAGGAGCCATCGCCACTTGCAGCACTTCTGCCTGCGTGCTGGTGGCTGCGATAGCATTGGAAAAGGACAGGCTGCTCAGAGTCTTAAGATTGCCGTTGCCTAGTGCGGCCAGCTGGGCAAAAGGTAAAGGTAAAGGTGGGGAAGAGCCTCCACAAGCTTCACTTCCCGGTTTTAACGTCTAGCTTTAGACCATTATTTGATCTGCCCGACGCGCCAAGTGCAGTACCCCCCACTAGTAGTGAATGGGTCCCGGGGAGGCCTGTGCCGAAGCCTTGGCGATTCTATTAGGCGTTCCCGAAGGAATTGGCTTGGATTGGCGCTGAGCCGGTCAGCTATGCCGCGTTTGTCCTCACAAAGTTTCGACATGGGAGGAATCGAACCTGTGCCCTCTCGGAGGGTTTAGACACTAGCTCCAGCGCCTTCAAAGAAGGCCTTTCTTAGCCGGTGGGCAGCAGCCTCAGAGGCAGCCTCAATGACAAATCCAGCAGTCACAACCCCTGTGCTGCCTCCCACTGTCAGCTGCAGAAGGGTTGCTGCTGCTGGTGTCTGCAAGCAGGCAGCAAACACGGCAAGCCGGCTGCCACCCCGTACTGCCTGCACCAGATCGTACTGTGGCGGCAGCAGCCAGAAGCTGCTGCGCTGCCACAGACCACTAATTGACCGGCTGATGCCGCTGCCTGCCTCTGTAGCTGCCAACAGGGCGTGAGCATTGGTTCCTTGGAAAGCAAAGGAGCTGACGCCGCTGACTGCCATCCCAGCCGGCAGCGCGCCGAGCTGACGTGGCAGACTCCACCTGCCCTTGCCCGGCTGCAGAACTGGGGTGATGTAAGAGTTGGCTGCACAAACGAGGAAACCAGAGATCAGATATTGCATTAGAAGGTAAAACAAGGGCAGGCGATCAACTCAAGGAATTTGCATGCGTGGATGGGACCATTGCTTACTTGTGTGCAGGTGGAGGACCGGGAGGGAGGCTCTCAAAGCCACTGCCAAGTGGGCATGTCCCAGCCCCATGACGCCAGCAGCTGGCTCAGAATGGCCGATCAGCGACTTGCCCGCCATTAGAGCTGTTGGCGCACCGTTAGGCTGGAATGCCGCAGATGCCACCATCACTGCCGCCAGGGCGCCAACCTCGATTGGGTCACCCAACGAGGTGCCTGTGCCATGCAGCTGCACGGCGCTAACCGCGCTAGATGCCATGCCCGCAATAGACAGTGCGGCACGCATGACATCCTGCTGCGCCGGCCCATTGGGCGCTGTCAGCCCACTGCTGCGGCCGTCTTGATTGACTGCGCTGCCCACCAGCACTGCTGCAGCCCGCTGCTGCCGCAGCTTTCCTTCCAAAAGCAGCTCCAGGAGCATGGACCCAGCAGCCTCAGCCCGCACATAGCCGTCGGCGACGGCATCCAGAGTCTTGCACCTCCCATCTGCTGCCAGCATACCTGACTTGCGGAAGGCTACAGACACAGTCTCTGCAACAGGCCCAGCACGGAGTCTGTGTCGCACACTTTGCACGACACATGCGGTTGAAGGGTGTCCTATCAGCCACCTCTTACACACCGCCCTGCTCTCGTACCTGATAGCATGAGGTTTGCACCGCTGTTGGCCGCCTTGCTGATGTTGCCCAGCAGCAGGCTGTTGAAAGCCATGTGCAGGCTGAGCAGAGAGGAGGAGCATGCTGCACAAATGCGGGAAGTAGTAGGTTCCACGGCTTTAAGTGACCAAGCCATCAAGGCAAATCCACCCAAGCGCTACCCTACCTGTGTCAGCTGTCATCGCGGCCCCGCTGAGGCCAAACGTGTAGCTGATGCGGCCACTGGCCACACTGTGGGCTGTGCCCGTTGCATTGTAACCCGACACATGCGTTGGAGTGTACTTTGCCATCAGCTGCGGAAGGAGGATGGGAAATGGCTCAGCGATTGGGGGACAGCAGCGGCCGGAAGCATGCATAATGCAAGCATGTGTTGACAAGATGCCCTCCACATCAGCAACAGTAGCTTGCTCACCTTGAGATAGTCAACTGTTGAAAGGCCAACAAACACGCCAACATCCCGACGGACAGATGCGTCCAGGCCAGGTCTCCCAGCCTGGGCAACCAGCAGCTCGCCAACGGTTTCCAGCAGCAGGCGCTGTTGAGGGTCCATGAGCAGCGCCTCAGCATCCGAGGTAGCAAAGGCGGCTGCGTCAAACATGTCGGCAGCCAGGAACGTGCCAAACCGAACAGGAAGGCCACCAAACAGGTCTGCGGTGATCAAGAAGTAAGTGGCAGGGTCAGCGTCAATCTTCCCAGTTCCATGCCGGGCCAAGTCAGCTAGATAGCATGCTCCTTACACACCGACATGTGCCTCCAGGTCCCAACGACTGGCGGGCACCATCTGCACTGCGTCCAAGGGACGGATGCTAGCAAACGCATCCGCCGGTGCCCGGACAACCATGCCAGTGACGGCAACCACTTTGCGGGCATGGTGAACTGGGAGAACCACGCCGGCTGGCTGCGTGCAGCCAGCAGCCTCCTCATCCCAGCTGTAGCTGGCATCGCTCCTGCTGTACGTGTCTGTCTCAGATGCTGAGTCGGCCGCTGCTGCCAGCTCACTGAGCCCAGCACCAGGTTGAACCTTGCTGGCAAGGAAGCCCGCCATGGCTGCCATTGTGGGATAGTCAAACACCAAAGTTGTAGGCAGCTCCAGCCCAAGCTTGCCCTCCAGGCTGTTGCGCAGCTCAACTGAAGATAAACTGTCCAGGCCAGCTGCCATAAGAGGCTGCTGCGAATCAATGTCTGCGCTGCCCAGCACGGCTGCCACCGCATCCTGCACCTGCTGCAGCATTAGGGCCTGGTGAGACCTTGGCGACATAGCAGCCTGTTGGCCTGCCCCAACTGCAATGTGGGCAGCCCGGCATGAAGTTGCCTTGCGCCGCCTGCGGCGTGGTGCCTGTGGCGGCGCAGAGTCCTCGCTGTCCTCACTGGCGGCGACCTCAGAGCTGCTGCCATCCTCTAATGCTGCCTCAGTTGCCGTCCCTGCCGCTGGCTGGATCTTGCTGGCAAGGAAGCCTGCCAACGCTGCCATTGTGGGGTAATCAAACACCAAAGTTGTAGGCAGCTCCAGGCCAAGCTTGCCCTCCAAGCTGTTGCGCAGCTCAACGGAGGACAGGCTGTCCAAGCCGGCAGCCATGAGCAGCTGCTGTGGATCTATGTCCGCGCTGCCCAGCACAGCTGCCACCGCCTCTTGCACCTGCTGCAGCATGAAGGCCCGGTGAGATTTTGGCGAGGCAGGGGCATCGCCCAGTCCTGTTGCCCTTGGAGGTGCATGGTGCCTGCGGCGGCGCTTGTGTGAGGTATCAGGGCTGCGGCTGCGGGAAATGCGAGGGACAACATCATGTGTCATTCCTGCTCCATCGCTGTCGTCTCCACTATCCGATGAGGTATCTGGCGCCTTAGCAACAGCACTCGCGCCAGGCTGGATCTTGCTGGCCAGGAAGCCTGCCAACGCTGCCATTGTGGGGTAATCAAACACCAAAGTTGTAGGCAGCTCCAGGCCAAGCTTGCCCTCCAAGCTGTTGCGCAGCTCAACGGAGGACAGGCTGTCCAAGCCGGCAGCCATGAGCGGCTGCTGTGGATCTATGTCCGCGCTGCCCAGCACAGCTGCCACCGCCTCTTGCACCTGCTGAAGCATGAAGGCCTCGTGCTCTGCTGATCTCGTGCTGCCTACTGCAGCGGCCAGGGTTCTGCTGCTTCCGCCTGGCGCACGCTGCTTCCTGTTGGTACGCATGCGTGGTGCGGCTGTCCGAGGCGGCTGCACTGCCATGGGGGCCACCCGATCAGCAAACGCGCCAAACATGGCGGGCGGCAGGCTCTTGAACTGTTGCTGGATGAAAGTAGGCCAGCGGATGGGCACAGCCGCTGCCTGTGCTGGCACAGCCGCCACTGCCAGCAGCATCAGTCCCTCAAGGGCAGCCAACCCAGAGTCGGTCTCCACCAAGCCCAGGCCAATGCGCTCGACGCGAGCCCTGGTGGAGGCGTCGTGCCCAGCCATGCCAGAGCCAGCCCACGCGCCCCACTGCACGCTGCTGCTGGGCAGGCCCTGCAAGGCAGATGTGTGTGCAGATGCAGCTGGGTAGGGCTTGGGTTCAAGGGAAGGCCGGAGGCACATGTTGCCTGAACAAGGTAAGGCAGGCACGTAACTGTGCACACATGTACAAGCGACAGGAGATGGCCAGGAGCACGCACCTCGGCCTGCGCTGACTGGGACATGGCATCCAGCGCTGCATTGGCCGCGCTGTAGTTGGCCTGGCCAGGAGAGCCCAGCAGGGCCGCGATGGATGAGAAGAGGAGCTGGATGCTGCCAGGCTGCCAGCCATAGGCGCCACCCAGCCGCTCGAGAGCGGCCACCTTGGGTGCCCAGGCTGTGCGCAGCCCCTTGAGGCTCTGATTGCCTAGCATGGCATCTGCCAGCACGCCGCTGGCATGCAGAATGCCAGCCACTGCCGCCCTTGGCGCGTAGCTGCCACTGCCATTCATGCTTCCAGCCAGCAGCAGGCCCGCGTCCTCTGCCGCTGCCGCATCCGCACTCGTCATGCTCAGCAGCCCAGCAAAGCTGCCTGCCACCAGGCCCGCCAGGTTGCCGCTGCTGGCACTGACATCGGCCGAGAAGCGACCCGTCCTGCCGGTGGCATGCACCTGGCTGCGGCTAAGAAAGGCCTTCTTTGAAGGCGCTGGAGCTAGTGTCTAAACCCTCCGAGAGGGCACAGGTTCGATTCCTCCCATGTCGAAACTTTGTGAGGACAAACGCGGCATAGCTGACCGGCTCAGCGCCAATCCAAGCCAATTCCTTCGGGAACGCCTAATAGAATCGCCAAGGCTTCGGCACAGGCCTCCCCGGGACCCATTCACTACTAGTGGGGGGTACTGCACTTGGCGCGTCGGGCAGATCAAATAATGGTCTAAAGCTAGACGTTAAAACCGGGAAGTGAAGCTTGTGGAGGCTCTTCCCCACCTTTATGTCCGCGGCTAAGAAAGGCCTTCTTTGAAGGCGCTGGAGCTAGTGTCTAAACCCTCCGAGAGGGCACAGGTTCGATTCCTCCCATGTCGAAACTTTGTGAGGACAAACGCGGCATAGCTGACCGGCTCAGCGCCAATCCAAGCCAATTCCTTCGGGAACGCCTAATAGAATCGCCAAGGCTTCGGCACAGGCCTCCCCGGGACCCATTCACTACTAGTGGGGGGTACTGCACTTGGCGCGTCGGGCAGATCAAATAATGGTCTAAAGCTAGACGTTAAAACCGGGAAGTGAAGCTTGTGGAGGCTCTTCCCCACCTTTACCTTTACCTTTACCTGCAGCTTGCTGTGCTGTGCCACCCAGGCAGCAGTCAGCGAACCCAGTGTGCCGAGGCCGCCAGTGACAATGATGACTCTGGCTGGCTCTGCTCTGGTGATCTGTGTGGTAGGAGCTCGTACCACAATCTTGCCCACATGGCGTGCCTGGCTCATCTGGCGCAGCGCTGCCTGCACCACCGACAGGCTGTGGGCCACCTGTGGGAGGGGCTGCAGCACGCCAGAAGCCAGCTGGCTGCTGAGACGGGACAAGGAGGTGTTGACCGCCAGTGGAGGCAGGAAGTCCACGGCAACCAGCGAGTACGCGACGTCGGGGCGCTCTGTGGGAGGGGATACCACATGGTGGGGAGTGATGGAGCATTCAAACAAGAGCCAACCCTTGCCATCCAGCACGGAGACCAATCATCCTCCCTACCCTGTGCGACGCGCGCCGGGCTCCAGATGTCGCGCTTGCTGATCTCCACAAACCGGCCGCCGGTGCTCAGCGCCGCCAGTGATCCCGCCACCATGCCGCTGCTGGTCAGGCTGTTGAGCACCACACTGGCGACCCCAACCTCTGCCAGCTCGCTCACAAAAATGCTGTCCCGAGAGCCCAGCACCTGGCTGGGGCCCAGCGAGCGGACCAGCGCCCGCTTGTTGCTGCTGCCGGCCGTAGCGACAGTGACGCCACCCAGGGCTGCCACCATCTGAATGGCTGCAATGCCCACGCCTCCGGCAGCGGCGTGCACCAACACCCGGTCGCCAGGGCGCACCACGGTGTTCTCCCGGAAGGCGTTGTCGACGGTGATGAAGACAGTGGGGGTGGTGGCCGACTCCTCATAGCCCAGGTTGGAAGGCATGAGGACCACTGTGTCTGCGTGGGCATGCACGTGGCTACCCAGGCTGCCAGCTGCAAGCCCGAACACAGCATCGCCAGGCCGCAGCTGATTCACGCCAGGGCCGACAGCCACCACCACACCCGAGCTGTCTGCTCCTGGTGGGCCAGGGTTTCCCGGGTACATACCCAGCACGTTAAGCAGGTCTCTGCACAAGCAATCGCATGACGTTTTCATCAATCAGTGACTGCACCAATCAAGTCACACACAGAACAATGCGGGGGGACCGGTGGGGGGGGGGGGGTGGGGGGGGTACCAACAGGAATGGCTGCACCAAGCTTCAACTGACCAGAAATTAATGCCCACTGCTTTAACTGCCATTCCCGGCCTGGAGCCACAATCGTGGTGGCACAGGTTCAGGCTTGAGGCCACTCAGTGCTCCGCGGGGCCGGGGCATCAGGTGGAAGGCTGTTATGCTGCTTCGGGCCTTGGCTGGCAGCAGGGCTGCAAGATGGTGCACGCCGCTGCGCTGTGCTGCGCCATAGGCGTCTGCGCTCGGGGCTGTGCCAGCCGGCAGGAAGCCCAGCTGCGTGCCTGGACAATCAGCGGCAGCTGGCGCCACCTTGTCGGCATCCAAGCTGCCGAACCGTTGGCTCTGATACTCAAGAGCCAGTGTGCGCATGAGGCCAGGCAGGCCGCCATTCGTGGCAAGGCAAGCAGCGCGGCCACCAGCAGCTGAGGGAGCGCCCACAACAGCTGGCAGCGCAGTAGCAGTGTTAAGCTGGGCTCCGCCCAGGCTGTCCAGCGGAGCGGCTTGCAGGGCCGCCATGGCACCTGCTGCCGTTTCGGTGCCGCCATGAGTCAGCAGCCGCACAGTGTTGGCGACTGGCACACGTGATGCCACAGCTGCCAGCGTAGCAGGCTCTGCCGCTGGCCAGCTGACCTCATACAGCAGTTCCTCGGCAGTTGCTGATGTCGACGCTGGCAAGCCTACTGCCGGCGTCCTGGCCGCTGCTGCCGTAGCCAGCTTGCTCAAGGGCTTCAATTCAAGGGACCTGATGCCCACGCCAAAGCCACCAGCAGGCTCCATCAGCCAATAGTCAACCAGTGATGGGGCATCTGCTGCCGTGGCAGCGCCTTGCTGCCTGCTGGCTGCCGCCAGCTGGGGCGCCGCAAGCCGTTCGGGTGTCAGAAGACATGCCAGGGCGGCAGGCACCTTCAGGGCGCTGCTTATAGCAGCAGCAGCTGCCAGCTGGAGGCAGCTGTCCAGAGCAGCGGGGTGGAAGTGGGAGGTGCCATCACAGGCGGCATTGTCAATGCTGGCCTGAGCCGCTTGCTGCACTGGACCAGCTGATGAGACAGCTGCCACGAGTGCACGCTGTGCCAGCTGACTGGGAGAGCAAGCATTTCGGTCGGAAGCGTCACCAACCGCTGTTGGAGCGATAGAGTACAGGCTGAAGCAAACAGCGGCGCTGCCGCTAAGGTGCGGCTGCTTGAAGGCGGCAGGCGAGGAGGACACAACCACCGCCCCTGTTGCCAGCCGGAGGCTGGAACGCAGCACCACCGGCGCCTGCTGCTTTAGCTGCTGCCGCGCTGGCAGCTGGAGTGGTGCAACACATGCTGGCAGCCGTCTGGGCCACG